TCCCTGCAGTAGGTTACAGGCGCTGGGGCCAACACAAGTGGGAATAGTGCCTTGGCCTGTTCCCCCTGACAGCCTGGTGGCTGCCATCCTCCAGAGGCCACTGGATAATCAGGTCTGGGCCCGCAGTGATGAGATACGCAGGGCCTCACAGGATGGGGATGGAGCCGGCCCTTTCCTCCCCACCCAAAGACCCCGAGTCGCCGCCCATGAACGGCCTCTCTGGCTCCTGATCAAGCTGCTTAAGGGCCATGATCCCAGAGATTCAGAAACAAATCTCGGAACCCAGTGGCTTTTGGCAGAAATGCGTCCAGACCCCGCAGTAGGTTACTGTCGCTGGGCCACCCCAGGGGGAAAGGGTGTTGTCCCTCCACCTGCTCCCTCTAGGCGGCTCAGTGGCCGCCATCCTCCAGAGGCCACTGACAGTAATGATTTGGGCCCTCAGTGACGAGACACACGGGGCCTCATGGGATGGGGGTAGAGCAGGCCCTTTCCTCCCTGTCCAAACTAGACCCCAAGTCGCCACCCATGAACAGCCTCTCTGGCTCCTGATCAAGCTGCCTAACGGCCATGATCCCAGAGACTCAGGAACAAATCTTGGAACCCAGCAGGTTTTGGCAGAAATCCCTCCAGATTTAAGTGTTAAAATTTCAAAATTTCAAAATTGCGTGGCCACTACTGCAGCCACGCAACATATTTTATTCTTAACCAGCAATAGAAAACAAATTGTCTACTGTTGCCTTTTCAGTCGATCTGAGTGTTGGGGTAAAATCCCAAATAATAATGGTGGGTCTGATGTCAAAATATTGAATGTAATCAAAGTAGAGAGAGAGTAATGTGGAAATCATCTGTCCCTCAGGTAGGGGGAGGGTGTGGGATGGGGGTATACTGGGATTTTTGGAGGTGGAGAATGGGCACTGGTGAAGGTATGTGTTTCATTGTATGGCCGAGACTTAAATCCGAAAACTTTGTAACTGCTCTCACAGTAATTGAATAAATAAAATTATAATAAAATGAAAAAAAAAGTAAGATGGAGTTCATGCCCAATTCAATCAGCTAATCAGTGGCTGAATAAATAGCAGTACTCCTACATTAAAAAAATAGCTTTGTTATCTATTTTGGTAACATTTCAGGTAGAATTTAAGTTGAGGCATAAACAAATTACTGATGAAAAAGTAGACTAACTTTGAGTTAGAGTTGTTCTAAAATGCTTTTGAGATCACTGAGACTTCAATTACCACAGGTGCACTTATCCCCTACGTACGTATTTCAGAAGCGAAATTTAAAGTTACTTGTAAAGTTACTTGTAAATTCACCTCATTCAATCTCGTAATAGAGATGGATTCCTGCTGCTAGTAGTTAAACTCATCCTGACTCCTTTTGCTGAAAATGACAAAATCCATGTTGAACAGCAAGATCAAAGGAGGAATTTATTAATTCATGTATGCAAATTTCAAGGAAGGAAGGGTCACTGCTGGGCTTCTGGGATTTCTGAATGTCATCAGCAGTATCCATCCGTGCCAGTCTTACTCTCTCCAACTGAGCTTTGCTGGACGCTGGCTGCCAGTTATGTCCTGCGCTTGTTCTTTGCCCAAATTCATCATACCTTAACTTCACCACACCTTAAAATATCTCTGGATTAAGGCTAACAGTTTTGTAGGCATATTCGAATATTCTCTTAAAATGTTGTCTTCTCACTCCTACTAAATGATCCATTTGTAGGTTTTATCTATTTCATGAAAATTAAAAAAAGTATCAGTATAGAATATTCAATCATAGTTAAATGTATATACCCATAAAAAAGTCACTAAAAATTTATGAACTTTTCATTGACAATTTTGAGCTATTTGTTTAGTTTAAGTCCTATATATTCATATGGGTGAATAAATTTTTAAACCTCTTTCATATGTGGAATATAAAGAAACAAAGTACGGGAACAAATGGCTAAAGTAATCAGAACTGAAAATTTTGTGTCCAGAACTGAGCTTTCATGGGACAGGGAGTTAGGGATTTGTGTAAGGATCCTTGGGACACTGGAAGAGGGGGAAGTGGGCTCTCTAGTGATGGACATATTGCTGGAATGATGTATGCACAAAAAAAGGTCCAATTAACAGTATTTCAAATCCCAGTGCCCCAATTAAAAAAACCTGGGAAGACAGAACTGAGCCTGTGTATTATGTTTCTTAATCATAAGATCCATAATAAGTTATCCAAAGTGGAAGGGAAAGGATGTGAACAAGTGGGAAAAACATTACTTGTACAGTTCTTTATATTAAAAGGGCCCTTTTGAGTCAAAAGGGATGGGAGAGGAGGAAGAAAGTAGAGAATGAAAAGAGATTCATTTTGACAACTATTCTGCAAGGATATTCAAGGATATTCAGCCGAAGACCTCCAGGACCAGCCACCACCATGCTGAGACCACTCTCCGCACACCTGAAGGTACTGGCAGAGGGACATATCCACGCGGGTTCCGGGGCCGAGATCTCCCAGCCTACTCGGATTGGAGTTGAGCATCCTCCACCCAGATCCTCCAAATTTCAGTAGGCGGGGGTCACACCCACCACCTGGCCCCCTGGCGCCGTGTAATCCCATCAACGGCCAAGACTCAGAGACTATAAAATCCAGCTCCCGGACGAGAACAGTGCAGTTTGCCCCCGCGCCTGGCTGTTCCTCGCCGGGGCCCGTTGGAGGGGAGCGGGTTGAGCTTTCCTCCCCGCCCTGACCAGGGCTCCGGCAGCCGAAGACCTCCAGGACCAGCCACCACCATGCTGAGACCACTCTCTGCACACCTGAAGGTACTGGCAGAGGGACATATCCACGCGGGTTCCGGGGCCGAGATCTCCCAGCCTACTCGGATTGGAGTCGAGCATCCTCCACCCAGATCCTCCAAATTCCAGTAGGCGGGGGTCACACCCACCACCTGGCTCCCTGGTGCCGTGTAATCCCATCAACGGCCAAGACTCAGAGACTATAAAATCCAGCTTCCATAACCGCGCGGCCGCATTCGCGGCTGCATGACATCTTATCAGGACATCTTTTATGACATCTTATCATCTCATTCCTACTTTGGACAAACTTGCAGGCTATTGAATTTAGCCTGCCCACAGGGCAGAGTCTGGCAAACTCCCCGTGGCGTACCAAATATGCCAAATACCAGTAACAATGATGGGTCTCATTCTCCTAAAGAGCCTTGAATATAGTCTCAGGGTTAGGATGAAAGAGACGTTACTGGGGCCTGCTCGAGGCAATCGACGAATAACAGGATAATGAAATGAAATGAATTAAAGTTCTGCAAGGAATACCTCATTTATTGAATTTAAATTTTGTATATATATGTACAAACACAAGTCAATTTCAACACTTCAGTTAAAGCAAAGAAGCATTTGTTATTTCTAACAAAAAATTTGATAGTGGGTCTGAGTGATAGTACAGTGGTTAGGGTGCTTGCCTTGTATGTGGTTATCCCAGATTAGATCTCCAGCATTCCATATACCTGGAGCCTGCCAGGAGTGATCCCTGAGTACAGAACCAAGAGTAAGCCCTGATAAAACGGAACGGGGAACAGGTGTCCTCCGGCCATCTCCCGTTTCCAGTAACTAAGCAGTCATGCCCATAAGCCATCTCTGGCTGATGCCAGATAATTCCGTCATTGGCCACAACCCAGAGTTGCACTGTCCTTATCTCCCAGAAGGCAGCACAACATGACACATGCCATAGGCATGCCACCAGAACCAGAGCCAGGCTGTTCCATCCAGGGCACCCCAGATGGGGTGCGTGAAGCCCTTCCTTGGTGAGGCCTGAACCCCAACGCCAGCCCCAGCAGCCGAAAACCTCCAGAACTCAACCTCTGCCAGACTCATGGCTGCTCTCCACATGCTCAGGCCGAGCCTCACCCACATGTCCTGGACCTCTCATGCCTCACATCACCCATATCCAAGAGTCCTCCCGGTGTTCATCCATTTGCTCGAGCAGGCCCAGTAACGTCTCCATTGTGAAACTTCTTGTTACTGTGTATGGCATATTGAATACTCTCAGTAGCTTGTACTACACCACATTTGATAGGTTTAAAGTAGGAGGAAACCAATCTTAGAGAGAAAATTTTTTTACAGATATCTCCTCTCTCTCTCTCTCTCTCTCTCTCTCTATATATATATATATATATATGAGCACATAAGGCTCAACTTTTAACAACATGTTAGTGATCTCTAGAAGGGCTTAATGACCCTTGGGTGTAATACAACAATCTTCACACTGTTTCCTCTAAGGAAACTTTTCTGGAGCATTTTCAGTGGTTTTTCATAACAAACAATACAAAATAAATTATTTCAGTTCTCCTTTGGGGCAGGGGTTGGAGTTTGGGATGGGAACATCTGAAATATAGTGATGGGAAGGTGTAATGGTTGTGGGATTGGTGTTTGAATATTAAATATAATCAAATATTGTGAACTACTTTATAAGAGGAAAAAAAAAGAAAAAAAAAGAGTAAGCCCTGAGCACCACTGGGTGTGGCCTCAAAACAAAACAAAGTGAAACAAAAATATAGTAAAATGTTAAGACTTTTAGAAACTTCATTAAGACATTTACTCACTAGCAGTTTACAAATGAACACACTGTACATATATATAATCCCCATTTATTCTGGATAAACATTTTTGCTATACAAAATTTTCTAACAAAAGATTTTGAATGGCTTGGAAAAACAGCATTTTAAATAGTTTATCTTTCTAAAATTTAGGTGACTTTTGAAATAGGCAATTAGAGAACAACTGTTATAAAAACAAAAAAAGCATAACTGAAAAACATTTAAACAGGAAAATTAGGAAACTACATAAAATTTTGTCTACACACCATCAGAAATTTTCTTTAAAGTTTAAAAAATAGTTCAAGCATTTCTAAATATAAAAATTTCAAGTTTATATTTATTGGAAGACAAAAATAACATAAGTTCTGTTACAGTAACCATATACATCAAGATAAATATTTGGAACCATGGAAACAAATAGTGAAGTTTCAAATTTCACAAAATTTTAATGGTTAAATAATTTGCCCAATGCAGCCATTTTTTTTTGTTAAAAATAAGTTCACTTAATTTTTATTTATTACAATGTGTTTTTTAAAAAACACCAAAATACAATGGTATTAGGTCTGCAAAACAATCATGTTTATCTAGATTTAACTGTAGGAATATAAAACTCAATGTAGTAGGAAAATATGTAAAAACATGGAACTATGTCCCATTAATATATATAAATGCACCTTCTGTTGATTATATGAATATCAAAAACTAAACATTCTGACCAGAAAAGTAGTTTCTATAAAATGTAGCAGGCATTGTTTGTTTTTTGAATACAATGAATAAATAAGAAATATTTCTATCTCACTTAAGTGTAATGGCATTTATTAGCAAAAAATGTAGCATACACAATGGAAAGTCGGCATTGTCCTGTATTCATGTTTTCAAGTTTGATTTTCATTAAAATATTTTTTACAACATATCTAGACAAACACAAGTAAAAAAGATGAGGTAAACATTTTACACTTTTCAGATTCCTTGAAATTTAACGTTCAGATCTTTCCAATGCTTCGGTTTAGAACAATGCTTATATAAAACCCTCAATAACGATGACATGACATATATAATACCAGCCAATGAACTGCAGGATTTTCTGATCTTCGAGTAGGCAGTGATATTCTTCTCTACTGTTAGGAAGTGATCATGACTTTGCTTCAGTGTGGATTTACATGAGACACCATGCTACAGTAAGAGCAGCAACAATACCATTCAATATTGCCATGCTATAGCCCATGTGGAAAGAATGTCCAGTCAGTTTCCTGAAGGTGTGGAAATAAAATAAGAAAATGTAACTTGTAATGCAATAACAACACCATCAGTTTTCATCACAATGCTTGAAACCTTAGATATACACTTCCAAATATTTTACACATCAATATGTAAGTTTTAAAAAGGAATATTGGTTGCCTACAGAATTAGGAACAGAGAGTTTATGTCAAAAATTCTGTTAGTTATCAAATACATTCTCAGTTTTACTACTACAGTAAAACTCTAGTAGTTTAATCCTATACTTTTAATTATATATGTAACATGTAACATAAAACTCATTATTTTTATGTTATTTTTTAAATGATCACAGTAAAACTAGTTAACATCCTTTGCCATAATTACAATCTGTTTTCCATTATAAAGAATTATAAAAATTTACTCTTGGCAACTCTCAAATATACCAGCCAGTCTATTTAACTATAGTCACCACGCTGCACAATTCATTCCCATGACATTTGTTTTATAGCCAAAGTTTGTAACTTCTGAAAAAAAATACTGTTTTTCTGCTTTTCATGGGCTTTTTTAAAGTTAAAGACTACACATATAAGAAACAAAATATGGTATTTGCCTTTCACTGATTTATTTTACAATATCATACTTCAAAGTCCATCATTGTAGATGCAAATGGCAAAACCTTGTTTTTGTTATGGCTAAATAATATTCTAATACACAAATACACACATATATCACATCACAATTTCTTCTTTATATTTGTTCATTATAGATGGATACACAAGTTACATACATACATATCCTAATTACTCTACCAATACACCTCAGTAAATGTGAGTATAGGCAGGTGTTGTCCTGGTGGTTCCCAACATTGCAAGGCCCACAGTAGACTCACACACACACAAACACACACACAAACAGACACACACACACTCACACACACTCTACATACATATGTAGTTACAAAATTTTATTAAATGAAGATTAATAAAGAATATAAAAATGATTAATTTGGTAAACTTACAACATTTGCCATGTGTACAGATTTTTAAAACAAATCTAGAGGCATATTCTACAGTCTGTTATCATTACTCATTTTAGGATTATTTAAAGTAAGACTTTGGAAGCCAGAGTGATAGTACAGTGGGTAGAGCATTTGTCTTGCATGAAGCCATCCCAGATTCAATCCCTGTCATCCCATATGGTCCCCTGAGCACCACCAGGAGTAATTCTTAAATGCAGAGTCAGGAGTAACCCCTGAGCATTGCTGGGTGTGACTCAAAAGCCAAACAAGAGAGAGGTGAGAGAGAGGAAGTGGGAAGTAGGGGTGGGGGAAGAGAGGCAGAGAGTGACAGAGAGAGACAAGAGACAAGAGGCAGAGACGAGAGACAAGAGACAGAGGTGAGAGACAGAGAGACTTAGCAGGCCTTCACTCCCAAAGTTCTAAGATCCTGTGTTGGGCAGAGCCACCCTTCCACTCCCCACCCCCACCCCCACCCCCACCCCCCACCCACTGTGTGAAGTGTGTGTGCCAAGACAAGAGAAATATAATAAATCTCTGTTGCTTCTAAAAAATAATTTAAAAATTAAATCCTGTGTTGTTCATAGTAAGTATTCTGCAAATATGAAAACTTTCAAATAATAATCCTGTCCTAAAGAGTCCTTAAAACTAGAAAATGCAACTTAAGTATAAAGTCATCTGACAGGGGTATGGTGCCGCCATGTAGGTCAACCTACACTCATGGGGCCAGTGCATGAGCAACATGGTGTCTTCAGGCTTCCTGGTACCCTCAAACTGCCGCTGTGACTCTGTCCAGACCCCAACAACTAGAACCAAATTTCCTGAGAAATTAAACAGCCAAAAGTTAGGCATGTGGGAGCCACACCCACAAACCATCTCAGGCTCAGCTGTGCACGTTGGTTTTTTAGCCTTGCTTCAGAGACCCATAAATAAATCTTGAGAGAGATCAAAAGCCACAGTTAATCTCAGATCCATGCAAGGCTGAGCAGACCAGGGTAAATCAGAGGGGGGCAAGTTAGCCTGGTGCCTGCCTAAGCAGAGCCCCCAGCAGCCGCTTGCTCCAATCCAAAACTGCTACCATGCCCCTGGCCAGACTCCATCGCCTCAGGACATGGATGGCGGTCTCACTGAGTATTAACCTGTTGAAAATTTGGGTATGCAGGTCTTGTGACTGAAATCTCCAGGCTTTCTCGGGGTTGGGATGGGCTACTGCCCTCCAGCTCCCTGTGCTTCTGGAAGCCTCAGCAGTCACATCCACACCCCAAAGCTGCCACCCAGTTAAAAATCTACTCCATCTGAATGCCCCAAACAAGCAAGATGACCTCTTAGCACCTGTATTGCAAACCATAATGCACAAAAACAGAGGGAAGCTGGGGGTGGGGGATGGGGGGTTGGGGGATGGTGGGAGAGAAAAGGGGGGCAATGGTGGTGGGAAACTGTACACTGATGGGAGGGAGGGATGGGTGTTGGATCATACTATGACTGAAACCCAATCATGAACAGTGTTGTAATGGTCTATCTCATGGATATTCAATTAAAAATATTAAAAAATAAAAATAAAGTCATCTGAGAATATGACTGTACTGACTTCAAGGTTTCATGATATCTGGTCAAAACATGCATGAACATTTAGAGTATTTAAAATATGAGGGAAAAGTATAAATCTATAGATTTCAAGTTTAACTGAAGTATCTCATTAAAAATACATATGAGCCCAAAAGGCAGTACACAGGATAGGTGCTTGCATTTGCACTTGGCTGACTCAGGTTCAATCCCTGGCAGCCCATATGGCCCCCTAGTGTGTGAGAAGTGATCCTTGAGTGCAGAGACAGGAGTTACCCCTTGCACTGCCTGGTGTGCCCTCCAAACAAACAAAAATTACATATGAGTTGATAGTGAGTATTTTCATCAGTTGTTCCACTGCCCCAATAGTTCTGTAATAATTATTTACTTTAGGAATAACTATCAGTTAATAAAGTGTTCACTATTTCAATGGAGCTAGCTGATTCATCACTTTACACAACAAGAAATGTTAAACTTTAAGTAATTTCCTCAGGGGCCAGAGATACAGAACAGTGGGTAAGGCATTTGTCTTGTTCCAGAGGACCTAAGAGTCAATATTTGGCACCCCACATGGTTCCCTGAGCCCACCAGAGGTGATCTCTGAGTGCAGCACTGGCTGAGTGTGCCCAAAGAGTCTTCATCTCCTTTACAAAAAAAAAAAAAAAATTCCTCATTAGAAAGAAACTTTTTCTCAGCCTCACATTTCCTTTCCTAGTTATAAAGCCAATTTTGCTGGCCCAGACGCCTCTTCTATATCATAAAAATAGTTTTTCAAGATCTCTTTAACTTTATCTACCAGTGCCAGGTAGAAGAGTGCCTGAGGATATCTGTGTTGGGTTCTATTGTGATTAGACAGTCTTTAATCACTAGGAAGTTAGGATCAACAGAACAAAATCATATTCCTAAGATTTCTGATTTCATAAATCAATTTTTAAGTTTTAAAGAAAAGAACTGACATGATGTTTGGGATAAAGTTTGAAAACCACTGCCATCTACAGTAAGTACTATTTAATTAAAAAGAGCATCCAAATTAAAAAAAATAGAAATGTTAAAAAGAATAGAATGCATGAAATGAAGAATAGGAAGAATGAAATATCAAGATAAGTAACAATTATCCAAGGAAAGATCACTGGCAGTCAGTGGTAAATAACGACCAGACATTCAGTTTGAAAAAGCTCGATTATGAAAAAAGGAAAAAGAAGAGTACTGGGACCCCACCTACTTCATCATCTGAACTGCCTGTATCTTTAATTATTAAGCTAAATGTGAAGACCACAAGGGCAGATATCATTACTTGTATCCCATTTTACTGAAGAGGAAATTAAGGCTCAAAGTCTCTGGCTTGCTCAAATAATATTAGTGCGATATTAAGGAGATAGTGTGGATTTGGAAGCTGCCTCCTTCTGATTTATAAGCTCTTTCTGATATACAAGGCTTTCTCTCATCATTTATAAAGGCAGTTAAAACTAAAAGGGTTCCAAGCCTAAAATTGGCATATACGTCTCTCTCAGGTACTTCCTACCAGCTTTGCTGTATGCACACCTGTGCCTTTTAAGCAGTCCACAGAACACAGCAAATTAGCACAAGCAAAAGCCATAATGAAAGGTGCAAAGCAAAAACCACAAACAATATTGCTTTATGAAAGCAAAAATGCCAAGAGTATTTAAGATGATTTTTGATGGAATTGTTACATCAATTTATACTCAGAACAGTAACAGAGTGTATCTTTAAGGCATGCGTATATTTTTTCCCTTCACTTCGAAAAGCTATAGTGCAGTGCATCAATATATTTATTAGTGACAGCACAGCGAATGATGGTCCAAACAGTCCCAAGATAATGAAATGTCACGATACATCAATATCAAAGCCAAGTTCTGCATCTATCTCTTTTGTCCATAGTCTTTCTTTCCTGTAATTAGCCATCTGACATCTGTCTCATTAGTTCATGGCAATAAAGAACCTGATTTGACAAAAAGACAGCACTCCAAAATCTGTTAAAGAGTTGTACAGTCAATTTATTGTATTCAATGTGGAATCTAGTGTGCCTGGAATGGAAACTTCTCATTAAAATACCCAATCATTCACTTTTCTTGACTTCTAAGGCAGTAGTATAAGATACTGCCCACATTGAGAATCCATAATCTCGGATTAGAGGGATAGCACAGTGGGTGAACCAGGTTCGATCCCCAGAATGCCATCTGGTCCTTTTGAGACACTCCAGAATGCCATGTGGTCCTTCTGAGACACTCCAGAAGTGATCCAAGTGCACAGTAAGCCCAGAACTCCAGGGTGAAGTTTTGTATTACTATTACTACTCTTAATCCCCAAGAATTAACGTTCTCGATGTCAAGAATAAGTTACAGAGTCCTTAAATAACAAGATAAACAGTGCTGAACAGAAAATAAGTACTAGTATGCCAATCCTAAATTCTTAACTTTTCAGGAAATTTATGTT